TCGTTCTCTTCACCCGCAAGACCAACACCAGGATAGATGTTCGTACGCTTCACATGGGCATCGGCCTCATCTCCGGCAAGACCGACTCCAGGGTATATGTTCGTGGGAGATCTAGCTTGGACTGAACCATGAGCTGGATCGTGCGCAACTGGGGCAGCAGTGGCAAAAGCCAACAGAAAGCAGACAGTCAAATGGAGCATGGTAACCGTTTTGAATCGGGGATAACCTGATGGCGTGAGTCTCATGGGGATAATGATTCTGGCAGTTTAGAAAAGGTATGCGTGGTGTTTGGAGAGTTAGAATAACTAGGTACTGGCTTCTATATATGTATGTAGAGTAGAAGGCCTTCCTGTAAACAGAAAGGTGCCATAACTGCATATCTTTGGTATGATCCCTGATGCTCCAGCGCCTATATCCACCTTGCATTTGGCAACACTTCGGACTTATCATCTGGACCGACTCTGGCCTATGCTCCTGGATATCCGTCAACCCCACAACAACCGCAAATCCATTGAGGCATTTTTGCGATTGGACTATCCCAACCCAGAAGGTGATTGCCATACCATTGCTATGGCTTCAGTATGCAACAGCGGTAAGATAGACGGTGCACTTCACATTTACGCCATATACATCCCAATATCGGACGTCTTGAAAAAAACACGAAAGCTGTACGATCAGTTAAATACATGTAATACTGTGATACACATGAACGATACAGATATTTTCAATTATTACTCTAACCACAGGGCCACGTATTCCACAAGATTCATGCATGAGCCCGAATTCCAGTATCACTGCATATCAAGATCTGTCCTATACCTGGTGGCGGCTATTCCCCACTTCCTGAAATGCACCAGTACCAACAAAGTCAGCCATCTTTGTACCCCGACATTTCGCCCTATCACAATCAAACAACATTACAAGCAAGGGTTCGAAGGCGCACATGCCCCTCATTTAGATGCTTACACTATGAGGTGCATTTAGGATGTAACCCCCGTGATATTGCCGGATAGAATTTCTGCCTCTTCTAGCTCGTCGATCCTTCTAGTTGTGGATGAACGCCGATTCCCTTGGTTCAGGGCTGTCTTCTCTGGTTATAACCTGTGCGTGGAACGTCAAACCCTGGCCTTGGGTAGACCTAGACTTCCGCCTTTGCCTTACCATTCTCCTACACACACTCACGTCTATCATGTTTGACATTGACAGTCCCTCGTATTCCCGATTAGAAGCGGAAAAGCCGGAGAATTTGGACTCACTGGATGAAGAGTCTCGTTCCAGTGATGGTTTGTTACATCACAGACCCAAATTATCCCGGGGGCGATGCTTCCAGTGGGCCAAAATCCCCAAGATTATTCTTCCTATTGTGTTCTTTGCCCTCATGGGAACCCATATGCTTGCCTTGTTCCTGGGCTTGAAGCTACGTCCCAACCTGGATGAACTTTGTCTGTCACATACTTCAGCATACTGTAAGCTTGGGGATCTGCAATCCACCCTACATTGATCACTGACAGCGGGTTGCAACAGCACCGGTGTTGAAAGAAATCTCTCCGGAACTCAAATTAGTCCAGTTCAACGGGACTTTAGGGTATCCTTCCGAGTATACCGGGGACCCGAGCCCTGAATTGGACGCAGTCTGGGACAAGTGGGGATACGGTGAGTCGAATCAGTTTCTCTGTCTGGAAGGTACTAGATGATTGATCCGGACGTCGCCAGTTAAATATGCGAGCATTCCACCGGAAGAGTTTATGAAACTCCCAGGAGCTGATCCAGACGCTGCGCGACTTACTCCCGAATACGGCGGAGGGTATATCGGCTTCTTGGAGGTCAGCCACCAACTTCATGTGAGTATTGCAGATGAACTATAAGCACAGTAAGATGCTGGAAGCTGACGCCGGCAGTGCTTGAACATGATGCGCCAAGCCATGCATCAGGATTACTACAATAACCCCGACTTCCCCGAGCAGCGCGCTGCAGTTTTCACCGATAGGCCATTCACAGTCAAGATGCATCTGCGTAAGCGAGTTGAGAGGATAGGCTGACTATTACAAAGCTAATCTCCGGCAGAGCACTGCGTTGAGATCCTGCGTCAGAACATCATGTGCAACGCTGATGTCGGGATTATTCCTCACGAGTGGGTGACTCAAACCCCAGACCCCTTCGCCAACTTCAACACCTGGCACAAATGTCGCGATCTGGAAAGTGTAGAGAAGTGGATTCATGAGCATGAGATTCCCACTCCACCGGACGGCAGCGATCTGCCAATTCCGCTGGATTCGAAGATCTTTCCCACTCTGCCGTAGTTAATATTTCCTGGCGCGATTTTGAATCTTATATAGTGTTAATGATATATCTCACCTGGCAAGATGTAGCTGAAGAATGGAGGCATGAGAGATATAGTGATTCTCAACTCTGACTTTACTATAAATTATAGTTTGTACCAACTTAAGATTCATCCAACTGTAGGGCAGTACTTTTAGAAAAAAAATTGGCCCTTCAACAATTCCTAAGGTAGGAAATAGAATATGCCAGTATATTATAGACGCAGGCATCAAGTGCTGCTTTCAAGGTGGGCTCGAGAAGAGTAACGCAGAGGGGCTAGCCTGGTGAAAAGAATTACTATTTAAACAGCCCACCAACGCCGTCGTCCAACTACGTCCCCGTACATTTCCTTACTCCTAGTCTATTACTCCCACTTTCCCAGAGCTTCAATCCTCATGTCCACCGTTATGGAAAAGCTTCAGTGCGATAATGATCAGAACCAAGAGAACGAGTACTTACTGGCACCGCCAGAGCGCCGACAATATTCTATTCTACGCACAAAGCGACTACTTGTTCTCTTATCCACATTTACCATCCTTTGCATTCTGTTGATCGTAGACATTGCCATCCGCCTGAAAGCTGGTCGCTGCACAACTGGGCCGTTAAGTATACACCCCCTTGTGCTAGGATCGCATCTCGTGTACAAAGGGCCTTCTAACTATTCCTCCAATCCCAGCATATTTTGACCGCCACATCAACAATAAATATATTACCAACCGATTCACCGACGACGTAAACTCTCCATTTCGCTCCGCCTCCCCTGAAGGCCAGGCGGCTTGGGACGAAGTTATGAGAGGTACGATTACCACCCGAAGGGTCAAGGACGACAGTGCATGCTAACATCATCACGTCGCAGTTGAGTTCTTCAGAATAACTGAAACGGAGATATCGGCTATCGGCGCTCCTTTGTCCTCCGTCAAACTCCCCAAGTCCAGAGGCGGAGGATACTTGGCCAACCTGGCCGTTTTTCACCAGCTTCACTGCGTGGTAATTTTTTGCTCCAATCAAATCTATGTTTCACCAGCTCGTCTGATACCATATCACTAAACACAGAGAATCCTCTGGGAAGCAACGAGAATGGAGTATTTTGAGTCTCGGGAGAACGTCTTTTACGAGGAGGAGTCGGAAGCAAAGGTGCATGAGCATTTAGGTACGTCTCTCTTCCCCATCGCCCTATTCCGTGATCTACCTCCCACTATATTACCCACAATCGTGACTGGTAGAACACTTTTTTTACTAACCGAACAGACCATTGTGCCGACATTGTGCGTCAGGCACTCATGTGTCATGCTGATACAACAATTATCACCTGGGGATATCCGATCGAAGGTACGACGCTGCGGCCAAATTATAGTCTTCCAAGAACGTGCCGGGACTACGACAGTATCATTGCGTGGGGGAGGGAAAACGAGATTCATTATCCTTAAGCACATTCCTCATGACCTATGGGAACCGCAGAATGCAGGAGCAGGGGACTAGGTTTCCATTGAATTATGTACTACCATATACAGAGGTGGATGACTGGTTTCTAAAGCTATTGGGGAGCGATAAGGATTTTACCGCAGCGAGTAGTACGTAACCTCACGTGCTACTATATCAACTGCGGGCCTTGTAAGGTGTGTTCCAACAGGTTCTTTCAGTGACCTGTATACAGTTAGTTTAAACTAGTTAACTAACTGCAGAAAGTCTTGAGTAATCGGACCCAGTTCCCGCCCAAGCCAAAACAACGCGTCGGGCCACCCCATTTCTCAACCCTAGAGCCGTGGCTCAACGAAAGGCTCTAGGGGCCTTGAGCCCCAATATTACTCGTAATTCAAAGCTGAATTCAACTGAGCGAGATTTTATTCAAGGGGCCCGGTTTAGTGTTGTTTCAGGGCCCAAAAATTGCAGAGGCTCTAGATAGACCAATTTGAACCATTTACACCTCCACCGACCGAGCAACTTCAAGACGTAACCACACAACCAAATCACATTCTGACCGGCCGAAAAATTATACTGAGCGCAATAAGCGGCAGGTTATTATTTAATCCTGCAATATCCTGTTATTTCATATGAAAGTTGCAGAATTCGTTCCCTATAAAATCATCACATCCTACACTATGATATTGTTCATGCGTCAGGATATGGCGAATGGAAATCTCAATGGCGGCCGAAAATATACTGAAGAGGTTGCTGAAGCGCGCCTTCATTGGACTCTTCGGTGTAAGGATTATATCGTGGCCGACTGGGTTAGGATTATATGGTCAAATAAGTTCTCAGTTAAACTTGGGTCTGGCCATCGTCAACAGTGGGCTTTTCGCCTTAATTTTCAAGGCGAACAGTAGAAGAAAGTCTAGACGTAACCCTATTATATGGAAAGGGGATGCAGGTAATGATATAGGCAGCTATTTAGGATAAGAATCGAGGCTCTTGAGTATACCTGGAGCAAGGTCCCAACTCAAAAAGGCAAGGCTACTCTTCTCAATCTTACCTTACGGTTTTGCAAGACATTTCGCTTCCTATTTTTGATCCTACCGAGCATATTTTGATGCAGGGCAACGCGCGTATCCCTACAGCCAAGAGTATCAAGGGCCGGCTGGAAAACAACAATATAAAATACATAGAATGGCTACCTTATTCGCCCGACTTGATTCCTGTAGAACACGCCTGGTGTCCGCTCAAGAAGGCGTGTATAGTGTGATCCTAATATTGAAAACTGCCAGGGATCTGATAAGACGAAGGATGATATTTTATGGGAGCCGTTAGAGCAGTCATGTAGCTCTATCCGGGGAAATATTATAAAAAATACAGTGAGTAGTACACCAGGCGTGTTGAGCCAGTCATTCAGGCGGAGGGCTGGTATACTAGGAGATAGTGGCAAACTCCATTATTGTTTCTCGATTTGCATTGTTTTGTAGCCTTTTAGCTTTTATATATATCGATTTCAGACCGAAAGCATCAAAAAGGTTGAAAATATATGTCATTTAATATAGAAGGTTGAATGGGATTGTTTCCGAAAGGGGACTGATTGCTCATCTCCAAGGACGGCATTTCTGGCCGGTTAGTGACTATGGACGTGAAGGCCTTCGCATCAACAATTGGCTGGGGGGAGGTCTCCGTCAATATAACCGGACACTTGAGACTTACGTGTTTCTCCTGCTTGACAATGGCTTCGCTCTCAGGGGCTGGATCAGTTATATGTGAAGCTAGGAGAGCGGCCGGATGACCACCCGGATAGTGGAAAGGAGGTGCATAGGCCTTCATTTCTTTTGAACAGCACGACGAAGATAGGGTTGTGATTGAGGGATTTGACCTTAGTATTTAATGAAAGCTTCATTCTTTTGCTGACTAGTCCCAGAAGAGGATCATGGTTTTGGTGAGTACTGTACCGGAATATAAGATATTATTCTAAAAGTAGCGATATTCGAGGATAATAGCTCTATATAACACGACTTCACAGGCCTGTTTTAGACAGGTAACGACGGGGCGTGCGTGAGAAGGGTAATCTGACTGAGTGGTATCAAGTTATACGGGTCAATAGCTGTGTAAAGCAATAGACAGGTGTTCCTCTTCCTGGATATGGAACCTTGATGCACACATATACATCATGACTTCTTGAAGTTTTGAGGGCTTTAGATAGCAGTGGAATAGTCACCAATAGCATACTATCAAGTCGTATGATCCATGACAGTCAGGGGCGAAACGTGAGGGTGGCAATAAAAAGACCCAATATTGGGTTGGGGACGAACATGTAGAAACCACTCTCAAAGGTAGCTGGATATAAGATGTGAAAACATGCAGTAAGGATGTTAGATAAATCTATGATTATTTCAATACATGCTAATGTAAAGTTAATGCTACTACCTTCATCTAATAGTACCTTAGATTTTGATATTTACAGTCTCCTGATCTCGTTCAAGTATGTCTGCTGTAAAAGTGCTGTGATAATGAGTTGTAGACAACGAAAAAAGCAACAGGGACCGGAATGGTATCAAACTAAAGCACCGATTTGCTGCGGCTTCCTTGTCAGCATCTCTGTAATTAGGCATGTTATATTGGCAGGTCGTTTGGCCTGGCCCGACTCGGTGCGCGTAGGAGCTTCATCGTGTAAAAAAGTATTTACCTTTTTTTATGTCTTGCATCCACTTTCACTCTTCCATATCACTTACTGCGTATCCCTGGTAAAGCAACGGAGCTCTGGCTAAGCGATTGTGGAGACCTTGTGTATTGCATAACGCCAAACATTGATAAGCTAAGGCGGTATAGAGAAAATTTGCTCCAGGCATCAGCATGCTCCCATGACAGATAATGCCTCACAACCCCAGGCATTAAACCAGTCCCAAATAAACTGGGGAGGGATACAAATATCCTCATCCCCGGACTAATATTCAGCCTGGGAATTGCGGGAACAGCAGCCATCCTCCGATACATAAAGTACAACCTAATAGCTGTCCAGCTCCTGAAGTTCCAAGCTTCTGCGACTAGTTGGATTTGCGGTACAGCCGTACAGCCCTGATTGCCGGGTCCCTTCTAGTCCGCCGTTGGTTTGGTATCACACTCGTCGTCGGCACAGACAACAAATCTTCACCCGTTAGGTCCTGTTGTGAGCATTGCCAGAGGAGGTAGAAGGCTCTTATGGTTCCGGATCATATTGTTGTTGTCCGTCGGTCTTTCAGCCTATCGATTATATATGGATACCCGCACTTGGACGGAGAGGATCTTGTAAGCTGGACCGGGTCGCGACACTTTGTCCGGCCGAAGGTATGAACAGAACGGTAGTAGTCCTTCCAAGGTGAATAAATTCGGACATGTAAATACCTAAGGAGATACGCTTCTTCCACATCTCAGCGCCTTTACTCTGGCCTCGTTGGACTTGATGAAAGAGAAGAAGAATGTAAGAGAAGCATATCGCACATCACCTAACGATCTTTGGTTCAACCGGTGCCTGATTGGAAGTCGCCAGGCAAAACCCTCCTCTCAAATTGTTGTTTCAGGGCACGGTTGCTGTTCCAGACTCGCCTGCCGTATCGAAAGATTGGACGCGTTATCAGTGCAGCCTTATGCCGTGTGCCAAGTCGCGCGAACTTGTTATATGATAGGACTAAGGCCGGAAAGGGTGAAAAGCTATAAAAAATTGGTTACTCGTGAAGACGACGAGACCAGTATTACTAAGACACGCCCTATCTTCATAGTACTACTGACTGCGCCAAAAGCAACTCCACGCCAGAACATACTGATTAGGATGGTCACTCACTGGTATTTGATAGCTTTAGTAAACACATCATTACATTCACCGTCCCTCATAGAACAAAAAGCGTCAGATTGAAGTGGGTCATCAGGGCTCGTATCCAGAAGGGTGCCTGTGGGGAAGTTCAATGTAACCCTGACATGGTCCCTTGAATGATTGGTGACCGCTGGTTAGCACAGGGTGCATACGAATTGGACGGCCCACGTCACCAAGGGACTGCCTAGGCGAATACATGGTATTAATACTCGCGCTCAGGTTTATTTAGCTGTACATAGACGTCCACAAGCTACAATATAGCCTTACAATGATCGGGATAGACTGGATCCGCTCAAAATTCCGATTGTTTCGAAGAGGGTTTCGTCAAGTCGCGTCATCCCCTCTTACGACAATAGTCTGGGCAGTCTATACATTCTCAAATTACTTGATCTGGAAACTTGCGTCGTCGGGATATCAGCGATGGCCACCCATCCGAGTGGTCTGTGTCTCTGACACTCACTCCCAGAGGTGTGACATCCCATATGGCGAGATCCTCATCCATGCCGGAGATTTGAGCCTCAACGGTAGCGCAGTGGAGATTCAGGATACCATTAATTGGCTTAAATCACTACCGCATCCACACAAGGTTGTGATATGCGGTAATAGTGATAGATTTTTCGATGCCTGTTCTCGAATACCTGACGACGCTACATACTCAGTCAGTAGTCTTCGTCGCGAAAGGACTGCTTCGTGTCAGCCACCACACATGATGTTTGACTGGGGTGAAATACATTACTTACAACAAACTTCCGTTTCTCTGACGTTTCCCGGCTCCTTCTCCGATGTGCAACGCCAGGTAAATATTTATGGGGCGCCGCAAGTTCCTCTTTGTGGCGGACCTGAAAATGCATTTCAATACCCGGTGGATCACGATCCTTGGCGTGGCAACATCCCTGAATCGACCGATATATTGGTGACACATACTCCGCCGAAGTTCCACTTAGACTGGTACCAGGGATCGCCGGAAGGTTGCCCTTTTTTGCTTCAAGAGTTGTGGAAGATCCGCCCTTTACTACATGTGTTTGGGCATGTTCATACGGCCTATGGGGTGGAACGGGTACATTGGGACAGCTCTCAGGGTTGGTGGGAGAGGTACTGCTTAGGTCTTTCAAAGCTCTCTGGTATTTCCTGTACAGAACTTTTTCAACCACAATTGTTGTGGGACGCTGCAATGGTTTTGCTGTCTGCAATATTCACTGTAGCAAAGGAAATGGTTGGTCCACGTCGGAACGAGAGATCTTCTACCCTCATGGTTAATGCTGCTTGCATGGACGGAGACGGTCTATCATTATCAAATGACCCTATTGTTGTAGAAATATAATAGGATCAAAGAGCAGAAAGCAGGCGACAGGGCAAGGCGACAAGGCACTGATGTAATGTAAATAGATGTTTCATTTAATGGCCAATATTCCGACTGCTTACTGGTCCAGGGGGCCCGTTGTATATGAGCGATCAGTTTGATTGCTATTGATTTTGCTTAGTATAAAGGGTTGTACTGATGAAACGGCAGATCAAACCATCATCGATTGTGGCTACATAGCCTTCTAAGTGGGGCGACAGGTAGCCCATTGTATCTGGATGTACCTATGAGGGTGCAGCCTTCGTGGACTGTTCTATAACATTGATATGGAAACATTCTTATATTCCCTGTAGATTCAGCCTTAACTAGTAATAATGGTGGAGTCATGGAAGATACATAGTACTCCAATGTTGAGATACAATACGCGAAGAGTAAAGTGCTTCCTAAACACGCGACAACAATTTAGGAAACAAATAGCCTTGAAACGGATTAATATCGAGTTTCAGGTTACGGACATAACAAAGCCTTCGCTCATTACTGAATGGAGGCATTCCTTCAGCGGAAGCCGGTTCTATTTTCTCAGATTTGCCCTAACTAGAAACCCGAAAGTACATAAGCTCTTCTGCATGACACCCCATATAACTACACGGTCGACAGGGGATCGCTATCCTAATAAGCTTATAGCTATCAGCCTTCCTCAAGAGACGCTCGCGCTCGACGCATCTAAGAGGATTTCCATAGCGTGTGCTCCTTTGCACCCCACAGACGACCCTGTGGTGTCGGAAAAGTTTGGCTGATCGATTACCGACCGTGGCCTGGAGCTAGACGCGTGGAGGATGATGATGATGATGATGATGATGATGTATGCTGATCTTTCCCTATCCGCCGTGTTCTATTGATCTCACGCGAATTAGGTACTCGGAAGTTCGAAGCTATCATTGCACGAATTTATCTAAAAGCCTCTCAGCCCTAGTTATGAAATGGAACTCCGGCATTAAGGATGACCTAGGCGGAAAGGTTAGACGATGTGAATTGGGCGTAGGTTAGAGACGATATGAGACATTCTACCAGGTAAACTTAGACACTTCTGCATTTGTCAGTCTATTACAATAAAGGCTCAAGGATTTCCAATCATTATGGGAGCCATAGCCTATCGTGTCAAAGTACACTGGTCCAATATACTTCTCAAACGAATATTTGTCGCTATTGTGAGACTTACAGTTCTGAACCACGGGCTAGCAGCTCAATTCCTAATGAATAGGCAAAAATGAATGGCCTTGCCGCAGACATACAAGGTACGCAGTCTCATACCATAATCAACCACAGGGACGTAACATCAGAAACAAGCAAAACAAACGGATTGGCCAGGGTCTAACGATACATCAACGACGATACACAGGGGCAGATATATTTCAGTGAAATTCATATGGTTCGGCATCATGAATATCTTCGGCTATACCCGGAGGCGCTTTCGTAACTAGCATCGGCCAGAGCATGTTGATGTTCAATTAACGAGCAGGTGGAATCCCGGGCGCCTATTTGTCGCTATAGAAGTTGAATCCCACATATGCAACGACCGCGTCGGTGGAATATGCACTGGAACATAATTGATAGTTCCCCGCTGGTTCGTAGGCCACTTAGTATACAGCACCAGAGACCACTAGTCAGAGTCCAGTCTCTGTCTTCTACAACTGTCCGTTTCGCGCAGACCAGGCAAAATCGATCTCGCGATCTTGTAATTCTTGACTCAGCCGTGCAGCTACGGGTATTCCTCGTCAGGGTAATCAGCGCCACACTCTATAGCGTAAAATTCGGGTGTACGGGAATGAGCTCTTCCAACGGTCAGGTCCATCGGCTGATCAATAGCGTGTACATGGTACCAGCCGTAAATCAAGGCGAAGGTGTTGATAAAATTATTGATGACGCCTTCCTGGATGGCATAGACAAAGTACACCGCATCTACTATGTTTCTGGTTGGAATCAGGGTATCGGATGAGCCGGTTCGGCCATACGCGTGGATGGCAGCGTTAGTGTCAATCTCCAGAGCAGCTCCAATACATCTCATGGCAGCCTGACTCGGCATAACAGAGGCACAGGCAAGGTAAACCACGTCTCCGAGCGCGCTTAAGGTGCTAACATGCCATCGGAACGATGTTGGATGGGTAGCACGGGCCATGAAAAAGCCTAGGAGCGCTGTGATTGGCGCGGCGTAGCTGAACGTTCTTGTTCCCATGGCAGCTGCGGGAAATAAGGCTTAGGAATTTGGTAAGTCGTTGCAAGGCGAGCACCATGATATAGAAGGCAATGGACTTGATTAGATAGCCGACGACTCTTGGAGGTTGTCGTTCATCATGGCGGAGATAGAACCCAGTTCTGATTTATGTACGTCGGCGCCCAGATATTTATTATGCGATTCAGATTATTAAAGAAGGTACATGTCATTACTCCGAAACTTCGCACACCACCGGTCAAGTGTTGGCTGACCGTCCGCATGGATGTGTTGATTGTTATTGGGGAGGTTGTGTATTTCGTAAGAGATTTGGACAGGATATGAGCGATGAAGCGGCGATCGTGAGGGCGGGTCTCTCCAGGGATCTGTGCATGACTGACTCTATCAAGCGTTAGTACCTAGGCCAAGGCTTGGGGGAAGTTGGTTATTTCGGACTGTCGCGAGATTGTCGGAAATCCCTTTCATATAACCGAGCAAAATTCCTCTGTCCATAATGACATGTTTTGTTGCTTAGGAGTGTCGGCATTCTTCTTTGTCTACTACGTACCACCACCATAGACCACTTTTTTTTTTGCTAGCGCACAATGCAGCTACAAAAGGTGAAATTCCTACGAGGAAAGAGTATTGGTCGACAAAAGGGATCCACTTTTAAGGTCTTAGCTCCACCTTGATAGGCACAGACACAAGAACACTTGAAGCCGAGGATGTAGGAACTGGTGCATCTCGACGGTATAAAGCATTCCCAAAGAGGTCTCACCAGGAATCATTAGGTACAAGGGTACGAAGCGAATAGGAAGTAGGAAGAGCTAGGGGTTGATGTGGCCGTACAGGGACAGTATTAGCCTAATGCTTGTACTTGACGCCATGTCACCCTAACATTACACTGATCTGCAAGGTGAGTGCTTCGCCCAATATCTTAACTTCTCTATGTGACGCTAACTATTTAAATCCTGCACCCAGAAGCTAATTTTGAACTCCAGTATTTGTACTGCCCCAGAAGAGATTAACATAGGTTCTATCAGAATTTCGGTTCTTAGCGCATGTTGGAAAAATATTTACCTTCAGGTGGGCTAAGCGAGTCTTCCAACAAGTCCTCTTGCTCCAAACTTCATATGTCTTAGATCAAGTGAAACTCTAGGACGAGGTGGAACATAGGCCGCGAGTCTAGTGTCGAGGAATTCGTCGCTTACCTACTCGGCCAAAGCCAAATATTCTAAACTAGAAAGACCCGTGTTGAAAGTGCATCGGACAGTCAAGAAACGATTAAATTTCTGATACTGAGCATGGGCAAGTAGGACTATCTAGGGGAATAATAGATCCTTTTGGATCTGGTCTCATGACAAAGGAATTCAACACTTCACTCTATCCAATAAAGCACCAATTTACAGGCCATAATAGGCATTGTGATGGTTAGATTCAATATCGTCTTTCGCAATTGAGCAACTAGTGGAGAACCAGCGGTATCTTTTCTGAAGGGGTAATATAGAGTATGATGCAACTAGATCAATTTATTTATCTTGCCACCCCGACCAATTCTGGCGGAAAGGGTGGCGTAAGGTCATCAAGCCGAATGCAAAGATCCTCCTTAATTCTTCGTCCCAATTGGCGTTTCTCTTTCGAGGGGAGCACCTTTTTCTCTATCGCCGCGGGTCATTCCATTGGACCCTTCCATATCAATACGCGTACCCTTTTTATTGATGTCTGGATCGGTTAATTCTTGATTCGATTGATCATTGACATAAGACTTACCCAGTTCCATTTCCTCGAGAGATCTCCCTTTGGTCTAGCAGGTGATGTTAGCATAAGACTCTGGATGACCACGTGCGTCACTTTTGCCCTTATTCCCGACATTAAGATGGCCATATTAACGAGTCAAAGATCAAAAAGCACATTCCTAATGTTGCAAAACATCTTCGGACGGGCGGCTATCAAACTGCCATGGTCGGAAAATGGCACCTTGGAGAGAGTGTGGACAGCCAGCCCACGGGGTTCGACTACTGGTCTGTTCTACCGGACCAAGGCCACTACTGGGATCCAGATTTCACAGAACCGGATGGAGAGCATATTGAGCCAGGATATGTCACTGACATCATTACTAACATATCACTGAACTGGATCAAGACTCGAGATCGCAACCGTTCGTTCTTCCTCTTGTGCCATCATAAGGTGCCCTACCGGTCCGTGGGAATGCAACGATAAACACAAGCAGCTGTATACAGATCCCGTGAGCCTGCCCGATACATTCTCAGACAACTATAGGAATCGTGCTAAGGCGGGCAAGGTCGCGAAAATGCGCGTCGCCGAAGACTTTACGTATCAGGACCTCGGACTGGTTCAGCCGGATGGTGGTCGCCGAGTTGGCGAGCCCGGGATTCAAGAAAAAGGGAATTCTGAGCGCAAGATTCCTGCACCAACTACAGATGTGGAACTTTGGTCAATGAGGGTGATTGGCAAGGATGATGGCACTGGCTTTACCTTTCAAAGTCACCCTGAGTTGGCCGAGTTTAAGTTTCAGCGATACATGCAACGCTATCTTCATGCCATTCAGTCCGTTGATGACAACGTCGGGCGGTAGATAGACTACCTAGATGGGACGCCTGAGCTAGCTGAAAACATGATTGTAATTTACACGTCTAATGAAGGCTTCTTTCTCGGTGAGCGTAGCTGTTCGATACGTGATTCATGTACGAAGAGTCTTTCCAAATGCCATTCCTGATCAGGTACCCCAGGGAGATTAGGGCCGGCCCAGTATGTGATGATATAATCTGCAACGTTGACTTTGCGACTACCTGATCGGACTATGCGATGCTCCCCATTTCGTACATGCAAGGCACGTCCTTCCGTCCGCTCCTATGCACCCCGGTGTCCTGAAAACAGGTAGCATATCACCGGTACTGGATGCATAACGATGTCATCCATCATGCATATGCGAACTACGGTATACGTAATCAGACGTATAAGTTGATCTATTGGTACAATGAGCCCTTGGGCGTCAAGGGCGCACGCTCGGGAGGGGAGGAACATAAGGAGTGGGAGCTGTTCGACTGTGAGCAATACCCATTGGAGCTGTTTAATGTATATCATGAAAGGGATTACCAACAGGTGGCGAGGGAAATGACCGCGCTGCTAGAGAAGAAGATGGTGGAAATTAGGGATGAGCCTGTACATCCCCAGCAGCAATGGCTGCTGGCGTCTCTGTGGATATCATTCATCACAATTGACAATGTTTTCTTGAAGATATTGGTATTTTGTATGTTCGTTAAATCCTCGTAAACGAATGTACGATATAACCACCCTCCCAACTCTACCTGCGTGCGAAGTCTAGCTTGTAGTGCTCTACACTAAAACATTTCCTGCCAAAAAAAAAACCTTTTCCAGACACTACATTCACAGGGATAGCTCCACTGTTCACAGAAGCCAATAGATGCCTCCTTGGCCCAACTTGCGACTGTCGGAATACGCGATCTCCATCATAGAGGATCCCGGGCCCCCTTTGCTCCACCTCGGGCGAACCCCCGAACCGTCAAGTTGGCCTTCGGGAGCGCTCCACATTTCGTGATGCTCCACCGCAATGATCCAATCCTAATGCCTCCTGTTATGTATAGTAATAGGATATAAGAGTCCTGGTAGGATCTCAATTCGTCAGACTCAGCTCAAACTACCGTGCGGGTGCCTTGAACTCTGGTTGAGACTATTCCTACTGGAACTGCTCACGAGCCATGCACACTGCCAATCATGGGGCATTTCCAGCTTGGTTTTGCTGTAATGGCACTCTGCCACACAGCTCTCAGTAACTCTATCTCGTCAAATTCAACACAAGCAACAACTCACGAAGGAAAGGTTGGTCAAATGGGTGGCATTCGTCGTCTCCTAAGTCTAGGCCCCAAGATAAACGAAGGGAAATATGATACGCAACAGGAGAAGTATCAGAATGGAAACATAGGTTAGGACTCTACTCATCATAACTACTTGAACATAACTGACATTTCAGGCTTTGGTGCAACGCTTAACTGGGCTAACGAGTCTCTCCCTCTCACAAATGAGGCACGACTGAGACAGACCAACGAGAGTCAACTTCGTATCCCATTCATCACTGTTACGGACTCTATCAACAATTTTATCTGCCAGAGGGTACTATATTCCCTCCGCAAGAGTGGCTACATTCAACATGCCGCTGTTTACGGAGGGTGTTGTTGCACTTCGTGAGGAGCAGCTCGCTATAGGAGTAACGTCTGTCTCCACCGTTAGACATAGCCTAGGAGCCCAGGTACGGGCGCGTTGGTGAGCTGCAAGTATCGTATATCGACCGGTCTTCATACGCACTCTAAGGCAACTAGCTTTGGAGAGGATTCCTACCTAACAGGCGAATTTGCCCATGTCTATGTCTAGAATATGGAGCACACAGACGAATCAGGGAATATCAAAGTTGCCATGACCATCAAGCACTTCTTCTACGGCGACATTCGTGGCGGTGTGAATGCTGCTAGTATATACGGCGTGATCAACCACATCTACAATGACAAGCTGCGTCCATATATCCGTGCGCTGGAAGCTGAACCTGCCGCTGTCATGGTGTCTTATGCGTCGGTAGATCTAGTACCCATGTCCGCGAATCTGTATCTCGTGAGGGATATCTTGCGACGGAAGCTTGGCTTTGATGGTGTTATTTTGTCTGATGCCAAATCGATTGCGCATCTGTGTACTGAGACTAAGGTGGCGAGTTCGTACGCTGAGGCTACGCTGTTGGCCCTTAAGGCTAGGTTGCAGATGGAGTTGAGCCCAGGGTTGCCAGCTGTGTTTCCTAATCTTGTTCTTGCGGCGGCCGATACCCACATGTTGTAGACTTAATTGATGAAGCTGCGTTGAGAACCCTTGAGATAAAGTTTCTAACCGGTTCTTTAATAATTTTCTTCCTAACTCAATCCATATGAACAGGATCCTTCGTGCTCTCGCTCACCTTGAGGCCGCTCGCGATATTGCCAAAGAATCATCGTCCTACTCAAGAATGACGGCATTCTACGGAAAGCACACACCAAAGTGGCCTTCTTAGGTCCCTTCGCCGACATCCGCAACCATGGCTCCTATGCGCCGGCTAACTCCATTGGCCCCAAGTACGGCAACTCGCTCTACCAAAGTCTGCAAGCCCAGCTCGGCGCCGGCAACGCAGACGTCGCCCATGCGGTGGGCTTCATCAACACGGAAACCAACAACATTCCCACTGCCGTAGCGGCAGCTAAAAAAAGCCGGCTTTGCAGTCCTAGTCCTTGGCTCGCTATCCATAGGGCTAACAGACCCCCTGGCAACCAAACGCACTGAAGGGGAATTCTTCACTCACGCAGACATGGACTTCCCAGGGACTCAACAGCAATTCCTGGACGCCGTGCTAGACGTCCCCATCCCAACTGTCCTGATCCTCTCCGGCTGCCAGCCCTTTGTGCTCAATAACTCAACCCTTTGCAATAATGCCATTCTCCACTTTTTCCTCGGTGGTGAATTCACCGGCGATGCCCTGGCCTAGATCTTGATCGGCGAGGTGAATCCTAGCGGCAAGCTGCCTATCAGTCTACCACAAGATATGTCTGCCGCACTGGTTTTTAATGACTGTCTTCCAGGTAATAACACGGCCCAAGTAGATAGCATCTTAGGATTTAACTTGACTTATCAGTTCCTCTGCTCTCGCGGCATTCGCCAATGCCATCCGGATTTGTGCTGAGGTATACGAATTTCAGTATTTCAGCGCCGATCGCGAGGGGTCGGCATAGTAGCCTGGAGGTTCGCGCTAACATGACCAATACAGGCTCTATCGCTGGGAAGGGAGGCTGTCCAAGTCTACTATCGGCCGAACAGAACAACGGGGATCGTGTTCCTTGTTAAGCGGCTAGTGAGGATTGAAAAGGTTGGTCTGGGTGCTGGGGTGGGTAAAGAAGTGGCTTTTGTCATTTCATATAAGGATCTGGGTTACTATATGAATGGGGAGTCGAAGGTGCAAAGAGGCGCATATTCTTTTTGGCTTGGGGCAAGTTCAAGGGTGGAAGACTTCACGCAGTTTAGCTTTACAGTTACTTAAGACTTCGTCGCGTCTTAGCTTAGTTTGTTGCTATTTACCTGAATAAATATATGCATAATGGCATGGTCGATCTACCGTTGACAGGGAATATATAAAGATACCATCCACCTGATACGGTTTGATTTCCGCCCTCGCAGCTTATTTAGCTATTTAGATGATAGACCGGAATATAAGATACAGAAGCACACGTAACCAGTTTCATCATGATCCATTCCCATGCTTTGGATCTGCTCCTCAGTTTCTTAGATCGTCTTCGCGGAATCCAATACGTTTTTCTCCAGATTGGGTCTCCGCGATGATACCTGTGTCTTTCTGTCGACTAGTCTTCCACTCCTCCATGTGCCAATGCAAATTGGCTGATTACGAGACTTATCGAGACCAATAACCCTGAATGTCGTATTTCGATTTGGCTACCGAGCTGCAAGCAGACCCATAGCATGTCCATGCTTTTTGAAATACAGACTCATAGCCGCGAAATGTTCACTATCTGGCGGACAAAAAGCGTACCGCTCAATACTAGGTAGGTCGGGGTTATCATCAGTCAGTCGTTTATAGCACGCATTACGGTCAGGGTGCTTTGTCCAGGCAACGAGCCGGTCAAAGTCCTTGCAGTGCATTATTTGCCCCTCACCAGCGCCATTAATGAGCTCAAGAGATGGCATGGGTGTGTCGTCCGCTTTGCAAATAACGTCCTGCCGTAGGTTGTCAAGACAGTGCTCTATGTGCTCAGGCGATTCAGTACTTTCCTGATGAGACCACAGTTGGTGAAAGGATTTACGCATTGCCTTCTACAGGTAACAGTCAGTATTCCCCGGTCGGTATTACTTCCCTTGTTTTAGCGCTATTGACAAAGTCCCAGCACAAGACCAATAACCAAATGATGCACTTACTAAACAGTGTAGCTGGTGGAACACTTTCAAGAAGTAGATCTTTCTATTTGCGTCCCATGGAAAGTCCCAGGAGTCCGATAGACCTCGATTTCTAGCCCAGTCTATTGTGGGGGCAATGACCATAGCATCAATGCTCAAGGTGTCCCACATATGGTCAGCATGAGTTTTGTTGGAGCTCAGGTACTCATTGTGGAGGGAGTACCGAGTTGGAACATCGAGTGCGAGTCCGGCTAATGAAAGTGAGTGGTTAGATATCCTAATTTGGCCTTTAGGATGTGAAAGCGTAGGGACTTACTATATGGGGATCGTTGAGCCTCTGAGGCGCTGCATGGTGTTACTTTTTTGTTTTGCACCTCCGGTTTACTGCTCAGAAACGTCCACCACAAATTAAGCGCCACGGAGACAAAAAGTGACACTGCCAGGACAAGAATTCCGAAGCGTTGTATTCCTAGGAGCATCCGAGCGCTACCGTGGTTGATATCAGTAGCACTCTTGATTGCCCTCTCCACCTGATCACCTTCGTCAAGCGGTTTAGTATTCTCACGTTTGTAAAGCATACCGAGATACTTATTGAAATTGCCAGCAAAGGATGTTAGGCCACCAGCATCCTATAGGGATAGGGATTATAATAGCCACGTAGGTCGGATGTTGCGCAACATTTCGTTTGTTACTGCCATTTTGCTAATGGGTCTATTTTTTCTGTATGACAAGACGTATGCGCCTGGCGCAGGGATGATACTTTGGTAACTGCTTACAACTGGCCAAGCTCATTCTAGGTGTAACCATCCTTTCCCTTGACTCTTTCTGGAATCTCTTGGCTATTACGATATGGTGCATTCCTATGGTAGAAGTTGAATATATATTCTCCGAAGAAGACAGATGATGCAATGTTATAATCATTATCTATTCCTCTTGACGGAGTATCTTCCCTAAAGCCTCTCAGGAATACTTGCACGAATACTACCCCGTGTCACTACAATTTAAGCTAATGATATATCCTCCGAAAATGGCAACTGGTGAAACGCTGTAGATCACCAATTATTAACAAAGAACAACTTCTGTCTATCTTTCTCAGTTGAATATTAAAACTCCGTTTAATGTACCAGTGCTCTGTCCAGGGCACTGTCTATCTGAACTCAGATATTATCACGAGTCAGACGCACGAAACTATCAGCAGTATTTGAACTACGTACGTCCGCTCCGGGCAGATGTTCCTTTTCCGCACATTCATAAATAACCTATATGGTTGAAGGATATCTAGAATCTATCCCAAACCACTCCTCCAGCGAAACCATAGAGTGCATAAAGCTACGTCTAGTACACCGAAAAAGATGCACATCCCAGTCCTCCTCATGGTAGGCCTCGTTGCCTTGACTGTGGGCCATCCACTGGCATGCGCCAGCCATGCAAGTGACTCCGAGCTAGGTGTGCGATTTGTTTGCCGAGATGCTCCTGCACTCAAGGTGGATGACTCTGGTGGCTTCGACGTTGCTAAGATAGCCCGTCGGCAAAATAGCCTCCCGACCAGATAGCGTAATTATGACTCTGATCTGGTGTCTCGAGCCTCTATCGTTTGTTCTCCCTCTCTGAGTTGTAGTCCTGCTACTTCCTTGGTCTGGAAAAAAGGAAATCAAACAGAATGTTTAATAAAATACAACTCATGGCTCTGTTTCGTTGCCGAGTCACTGCCTATGATCCTCGTCGATCTATATCCGTACCTCAGCCCAGAAGGGCCCACCCCGGCTGGCTGGAACATACCACTAGGAAATGCTTCAAGAAATTCGCGAAGGTATGGCACACAGGACGAGATTATTGTCACTGTTTGTAGGACTTGGCTGCACATAACCCATGGCCAGAGATCCACTGGGATTGAAGATCGGGCGTCGAATGCTTGAACATAGTGTAACTGAACGGCGGCGACTATGATGTCCCTGACGATTTTCCAAACAGTCAGATACCAAGATCATTCTTGTAAATGTGAACTCACTCACAAGGTCCTGATGCTGAAGCATCCGATGACTACCATTCTTTTCCGTAGCTGCATGTTTAGGCGATAGATCACAATACTTGGAATAATGAGCAGTAAAGCCTCTATTGCAATATTTGTGGCACCGAAATATATCCATAATGCGGTCTTTGCGCGGTCAGTAAGATGTATGTTGAGGGGCATGTATTTGCTCAACATACTACATCGATACAAGTTCCTGATGCGACATTCCAAACTTCGGCTGGATGACATTCAAGCGATACCGCGATTATCATCGTCACGGTCCACAAGGCGAGGAATCCCCCGATTTTCAAGATCAATCCGGTTCGCCCAGTCCCCGAGAGAAGCATGTAGAATAGTACCATTAATGCGCCCTTCCCAAGCCCAAGCGTCAAGATGTGGAATATCTCTGAAATATAAAGCGCCTGTTGAAGACCGAGCAGTTGATCCTCCGAGTCGATATCTGATGACCTTCCCAACCCACGAGTTGCAGCCAGTGATACAGTAGCTCCAGCAACCATGGATGATACCTATTAATTATCAGTACCGTTCGTCTGAGGTGGGAACGAAAGCGGTATTCACAAGAGTGCTGAGAAGAAGAGCCACGACCAAAGTTCTCCTTTTGAATAGATGCCAGCTTGTTATGAGGCAGGTTGCGACCGCTCCCGTTGACACTATGAGTAAAAACCATGATACTATCTTGATTGCTGCACTGTTGTCTTCCATATTGCAGACTAAAAGATGACTTTCTTTGCACTGTTTGATTCTTCGAGATGTTTAAGAACTTCTGTATAGCGCCGACGGCTGCCTTGAACCAGAATTTGTAATCGAGCGTTTATGAAAAATCAGCTTCATTTCATAGTACTGTTCAAGCTTACTGTGTCCAGAAGCCGGGCCTCTAGACTCGACTATGACAGGAAGAGCGCTAACTCATACTTTACTTGAGTTCAAGAGCCAATAGCACGTTGACGTCTTGAACCGTGATTTCCTAATTGCATGCCTGAGTCTTCTCTAACATGCTGGGACGGACTGGTGTGGTGGGCAGTGCATTGCTTCTGTCCCACAGGAGAAAGCGGCTTCTTGCTGAGCAGAATGGAACCTTTGTGATACCAACGACATACCAATGATACTCTGATTCGCTTCGGCTGATAAAAGACGGAACTTCAGCCGTCCTGTCTTACATATGCCCCTCATTGCATTGTCCACGCGACAGGATTTCGATACGATAAGCACTGCTGCCTGTCCTACCCCTTCGGCTGAGACTAACTGTTCATGCATAGCTTCTGTCTAACCATAACTTGCTCCTGGACAACCATCACACATCCATACCCCGCAGAGGCAGTATCATTCACATCGAGTTATTCTTTTCGTCTAAGCCCTCCAATATGAGTGTCAGTTCTGCTGCCGATCGAGAAATCGAACTGGTTTCCAGAATGGATAATGAAACCCCAGTACCAAACAAGAACAATCCAGTCTTGTCCAGTCGAGACGCATACGAGCTTGCCAGAGTAGGGAAACGAGAGGTTTTGAAGGCATAAGAACCCCCTTGATGTCAAGAAACCCCCCGCTAACACGCGTGCCAGCGGAGATTTGGGCTAACTAGTACTGTCGGGTTCGCCTGTAGCTTAATGTTAACATGGGAGGCGGTCATTCTGTTCGTATTCCTTCGTTGACATGTTAGGCTTGCTGACTCGAATACAGGAACATCGGACTGGGGCTCAGGAAGTATGGTCCCTTGTTCGCTATTTCATAGTAGGGTGCCTGTTGATCCAGTCCTAGTGGAGGACCGGCGGGCTTGGTGTACGGCTACATAGGGGTCTGGATCGGGTTCATAAGCATATTCATTGCAATGGGCGAGTTAGCAAGTATGATGCCTTCGGTATGGATATCTTAGTCTCCCACTGGCAAGGCTCTTCTAAGATTTTACAGGCTGGCGGGCAATATCATTGGGTGAGTATCCTTGCCCCGGACTCATCCAGACAATTTCTCAGCCACGTCACTGGTGGGTAGTTTGAGCAGATGCTAGAATAGTTTCCATGACAAGGCTAATATAACGTCCAAGGCTCAATTTGCATCATCGCGTGGACCGCAGCTCCCACATCGGTCATATACGTGGCTGGAAGCGTCCTACAGAGCGCCGTTGCAATGAACCACCCACGATACGATCCTAAAGGGTGGCATGTCACACTTATCATGTGGGGTATTCTGCTGATTTGTACAGTTTTGAACACATGGCTTGGAATGATTTTACCTGTCATAGAGGTGCTCATCCTCATCCTTCACGTGCTGGGATTCTTCGCGGTGCTTATACCAATTATCTATCTTGGCCCGCGCGCTGATGCAAGGTCGGTCTTCCTTCTTTCATATAATTTCGGTGGTTGGCATGATATAACCTTGTCAACACTGATTGGGCTCAAAGGGATAGTTGCCGCATTCTTAGGTGGGTTCGACATTTCATCATTTGTGAAGTACATAGCTAATACCCTTCCAGGCACCGATGGTGCTGTTCATGTTAGTGATTGCCCCCAGTCTCCGGTTTACAAGGGACTGCCATGGCTGACTCTCTGCATAGATGGCCGAGGAGGTGGCAAATAGCAGTCTTGTGGTGGCGCATTCTATGCTCTTCGCCATCTTGATCAATGGGCTTCTCGGATTTGCGATCTTGATTGCTTTCCTCTTCACCGCGGGCGACTTGACGGCAATCCTGAAGTCCAACGCAACCTATCCATTTATGTATATTTTACAAAGCTCGACAGGGAGCACAGGTGCAGCTATTGTCCTCTCGAGCATTATCTCTATACTCCAGGCTTGCGCTGGACTCGGAGCAATGGCATCCGGTAGTCGCATGCTCTGGGCCTTTTCGCGAGAACGAGCCATCCCAGGCTGGCGATGGATCCGTCGTGTGAATCCACGCACTGCGGTCCCTTTTCACAGTACCTGCTGTATAGTCATTGCTGTTGGCCTTCTCAGCCTCATCAACATTGGTTCATCCGTCGTGCTGAACATCATCTTATCGCTCGTTCTCGAAGCTTTCTTTTCCTCGTACATTCTGTCGTTATCGCTGCTTCTATACCGACGACTAAGAGGGGACATTTTTGAACGAGATCAGTGGCCTAACTCCAATTCCTGCTTTGTCTGGGGCCCTTTCCATCTGAAGGGATGGATTGGAACCGTGAACAACATATTCGCTCTTGTATTTTGCGTCCTCATGGTGTTTTTCAGCTGCTGGCCTTCGAACAATCCCCCATCCCTCTCGCATATGAATTGGAGCATTGTCATCTTTGGAGGAGCGGCCGTGCTTGCAGTGGTGTACTACCTGGGGTGGGCCAGAAAGTATTATACGGGACCACTGATCGAGGTGGAAGTTGCAACGGCACCCATGGGACAAAGAAGCGGGGGAGGGGCATTGTGAAACATATACTTTGGAAGTACTCGGGCTGACAGTGAATTTACTCTGCTTGGACGCGTATATATAGCTGTATTCTCCTTCACACTCTTCTCCTCTTCTCTCCTTCCCCCACTCCTCTGACTTGATAATGGCGAACACCCAGTTTGAGGTCAGGGAGATCACCACCAAACAAGAATATGCCCACCTCAATGATGTCCTTTGGACGGCTAATTTCCACCCCTACCTGTATATATTATTCACACATCCCACCTCATGACCAATCTTCTGCTAACTGACTCTACCTTTTCACGTATACAGGCCCGTGTTTACTGCCTGTCATCCCGTGACCGGTCACACCCCGGAAGAGTACACCAAAGATCGAGCTCTAGACACTGATATCCAGTGGGCCAACCACCTCAAGAATCCTGCTTCCAGCTTGATCTGCGCCGTAGACAAAGCAAGCGGTAACGTGGTTGGTGGTTGCGAATGGTGGATCTTCCACGAAAATCCTTTCCCCAATGGACCTCAACCGATCCCATGTACTTGGTTCCCTGAGGGTTCCGAGCGCGCCGAGTTCGCCTCTCAACTCCTGAGTAAGATGTTCTTTCCGCGGCAGTGTTGGTTTCAGCGGCCTCATGCGGGTCTGTCCTCACCTCCCAGAAGTACTTGATACGAGGCTAATACGTTTGAGGGTGGCCAGGTGTTAACAGGATGGGCGTCCATCCGAACTATCGTCGACGCGGTGTCGGGCGACTTCTTATGGAGTGGGGGCAAGAGAAGATTGATCAATTAGGCTACGAGAGCTTTATTGAGTCCAGTCCGATGGCTCGTTGGTTATATGAGGAATACGGGTATCGAAACATAATGGGCTTGCATCTTGACTTCGCGAAGAAGAATCCTAGCGATGAGTGGGAGAGATTGAAGTATGAATGTCGCCCGCCGGGGGTCTTGTTACTTTGGCGCCCCCCAAAAGGAGTCTGGGATGAGAAGGTACCCCCGGGGCCTTGGGCTGTTACAAAGGAGACGTGGAAGTAGACCTCGAGGCGATGATCAATCATTTATTACTACGCCCACCGTGTCTGCGTGATGTTGGTACAGATTGGGGGGATGTTTCTAGTTCTAGTTTATGACAGATTAAGCCCTCTAACTACGTTGTTTTAAGTGCTCGCCCTTGTTCCCTTGGTAATGGTTCACCCCTTTTGTCCCAGCCACTGATAGTATATTCCATTGACCACCCACAGAAGGGTCTTGTCTACATGACTGTCAGCGTTGGTTCATGAAATCTCAGCTTGGGGATCGTGGACAATCCGTGACGATAGGCCCCCAGTTGGTCTTCGGTTTCCCGAAGTGACATGATTACACGTCCATGTTCGGTCGGAAACACTTTTTCGTCGGTCAGAACCAATTTTGGTGGATGTTCAAAGACAAATCATAAGGACAGTGGCCCACAATTGAGCACCCTCTCCACCAGAATAGTAATGGTTTTTAATCTAAACGTCTTTTATTGATAGTTTGAATCGAGATCCTGTAGTTGTTATTCTACCCGCAACGAAGAAGCCAGATGTTGTTGCAATATCTCTACCCACATACTGTATATATATTGCGGTTCCCATACCATACCATTTTTTTTGAAACTGTCCTAGTATCAATAATGTATATAAGTGATATACATAACCAGGGTTCATGTATTAAAGTCTAGGTATTGCAATCAGACATGTCCTTTTCGTGGTAACAATATTTACTTAGTCAAGTACAGTAGGGCCCTTTTCTACATACATTAACAATCCGCATCCGGACCGCTGTAGTTTTACCAGTGTATATAGCAAACTGCCTACTCTGCAAAGCCAAACTGTATTCAAATCAGGGCTGAAGATCTACCTCGCAAGATGTGAAGTTTGTGATCTGTCCCTTTGCATGGCAATACGATGCTCAATCGCAGTGTTCACAGCTTCGGCTTCGGCTTTTTCGATCTTCTCGTCCCCACCGGCATCTGTGCGATTTGAAACGCTTCCTCGGATAATCTGATTCCCTCTGCATCAGAATGCCGGCTCCGATGTTCTTGCCAGAATCGTTCATCTTCCAACCAGCCCTGAAACCAACGGCGCATCCAATCCGCAATGGTTGAAGCGCACCAATCCACCTGCTCGAATACAAGAGTATGACCACCCTTTAGCAGCACCGCCTTTTCAACCATGCCTTGGGCTACTCCACCGCTTCCTCCAATCCCGGTTCCAGTTACTTGCATTTTCGAGTCCTGGGCATCGGGCAAAGAGAGGAAGCTCCGGCCCCCAAAGACCCACAGCACACTAGGCCGGATAAACGGCAGATTCCGCATCGCAGACCAACATTCGGGGCGAGAAAAGAGATACGGTCGCTCTTTTTCCGCATCCCAGTCTGGCAATAGCAGTCGGTCCCGCTCTTCCCCTTCGAGATTCGGCGTGAAATAATTCCAGGACTCTTGATGCTTCGTCGTTGTTAGTGTTACTGCGGTCCGAGGAACTTTGGGGTCCCTAGCAGGATCATAGAGGCGAGTCGGCACTTGGCGAAGTCCGTAGCGTAGATAGCGGTCTCGCGCACGAGGATCCCACTTGCTCAGGCCCTTCGTAAGAGAGGCGGCGGCCGTTTCCGGAGATTCCCAGAGATCCCTGCGTCGACTGGCCATGATAGCGGGATTTGGACCGCCGAACGCCACCTCCAGGATAACGGGTTCGATGAGGATCAAGGTCGACAACAAGCGTGGATGAATGATCGCAAGATTAACACTGTTCCGTGGTAGATTAGCCTGATAGCACCAGCATGATAGGAAAAGGGATGGACGAACAGTTGGGCACATCCCATACTGTGGCTTACGCCGATGAGTGGTCGAGGCATTTGATCGCGGAAGTGGTTGATCATATGTAGAAGGTCGCGCGAATGATCGTACCAGTTGGCTAGAGCAATCCCATCAGTAGGAGTTTTGAGTTCCAATCATATCAGAACGTACTTTGGTCTCCTTGGACATGCTCATTCAGGGTCGCACTTGCACCTTGGTTTGATGTATCCGCCACCCAGATTCCACGCAACGGAACGGAGAGTCTTTTCAGCTGGCTGTACAGGTCTTCCCACAGTGGCTCATACACCTCCTTGGGTGATCCGTTACCGGGCACTCCAATTATGGTAACTGCATTGTCTGGGATCGGGCTGGATCTCTCGGCATCGACTGGGACATACTGTTTGATCGCGATCTGTAAGGGTGTCTCTTGGCGACCCCTGATGCTCTGGGGGTATTCGCGGATATGCTGGCCAGGAAGGACATGTTCAATGACTTGGAAGGGAAACGACATGTTGGTTTGTCTGACTGGGAGTCCTTGTAGAAAGGTGTTTAAATTCTCGAGGCTAACGCGAATCGAAAGAAGTAGTATTGGCCCCCACCTGCCAAGAATGTAGAATAGCTAGGAAGATAATTGCAAGATACAAGGCCGAAACGGCTAGATTCAAGATCCTATAGAACTATCGTAAAGGCCTAACTAGGTAGGAATCGTGAGGCGCTTTTATATGTGGCCTGATTACTAAGGTATTCAACAATCCACACGACTCGGCGGATCGCCTATTGCTAGGTGCCTGCGATACTAGGTAATTTCATAATTTCATGGGCGTATACAATAAGCAAGAACCATAAGCCTCGGGTATACTTAGTTCAGATGGCAGGGCAGGCATCGGCTTATTATTTCACTGCGTGAGGGCTCAATGTTGGTTCATATAGTCAAATAAGCTCGCGTAAAAGTATTAGATCCGGATACACGACAGGGGGCACAGCCAGCAAGCAAAGGAAGTTCTTCGCACGTCGAGGCTGTCCATGATATAACAGAATACCGTAGTTGTATGAGGGGATCGGTGTCAAACCAGGTTTATCTCCGTAATGATTCGGACGCAATGTTGCTCTTATTCCGTTCGGCTATTTAACCCCACACTATCAAACATAAACAGACAAGGAACTCCCGCCCTTTGTTGGCCCCATCTGATGTCACTATACCACTACCAAACGAACACATGGATTCTTCATCCTGCTAACATTGTATCTCTACGTTCATGACCTCTTCCACTTTTCCATAGCCTGGCGTGCTCCATGGCAAACGGATCCTGGCTACAGTCATCGAGAACCGAGCCAAAGAGGGCACTAATGGAGATCCACCGCATAATGCTACTAACTGACATGTCAAATTTGGCGATTTGAGATGGAAGAAATCCCTAAAGACTGTAATCCAGACGCAAATACTTTGTGTGTGAAGGGGGCTGCGTCAACTTTATGCCCACCATTTCCCCTCATCTAACAAGGCTAAATTGGAAGATAAATAGAGTGAGACACGGCTAAAATAGGAATACCCAACAGAGTAACGCACGCGAGGCTGAATGTGATGAGTCTGCCTATGTGGCTTGGCTTGGATGAGCATGCAAGAGCTCGACTTTAGCCTTCTGATAACCAGGCTGGCCGTAATAACCTCCCCCTCCCCTCCCCTCTCCCTTCTTTTTTCCCTTCATTTTTAATTGGGGTGTTAGGGGAAGCACCCTAGTGAGCGCCCACTCCCCGACATAGAGGTCTCTTTGAATATTACATATAGGCGCATTGTATGAAACGCCTCTCTCAATGTAGGTAGTTTCCAACAACGAAGCCAGTTACCATGGATGTTTACAAATATACCAGATTAGGAAAGCTCAGCGGGACAGACCTCGACAAATATCTTAAGACTTATGATATCAATGATGTCAACAGCTCTGGTTGGACTTTATTGGCCACCGCAGCGAAAGCCGGACTGGTCAAAATAGTCGAACTCCTCCTGGGGAGCAAAGCGGACGCCAACACGAAAAATACGGACGGATACGCTCCTATCCATCTCGCTGCCAACGCAAAGAAGGAGCGTGCTCAAACCACTAAAGTACTACTGGATTAGGGGGCCAATGTGAATGCCAAAGGCCCCGAGAATGTTACTGTTATTCTCATCGCCATTACGCAAGCGCGCGACCCAGAAGTTATAAAGGTGCTACGGAAGGCAGGTGTTGATTTGAACGCTACGACTAAAGACGGAGAGACGGCCAAAGATCTGGCAGAGAGCTCAAGTGACCCGAAAATAAAAGTGCTATTAAGCCAGATCTGCCAGCGCTCAGCAGATTACGTGCGATCACTTGGGTTGTTAATGTCGCGGTGTCCATTCTAAGCTATGTGAACCAGAACATTGTCATAAGGGGGATTACCAGACTTTTTGGCCTGTTCAGAAGGACACCTAAGACTCTTGCTAAGCCCTCAGCCCCCGTGGATCCGAAAGCACCGGAAAGGCAAGAAGCGTTTGATGCGGACTTCGCAAAAGTTAGAATACCGCGACATTGAAGCTCAAGTTGATTGAATCAGCGTTCTGATCAATCTACTAGGCAATCCACAACTCTATAACAAAGGAAGAATTCGCCAAGGATGTGGCACAATGCGTGAAGAATACGGGGCTCGAAAAGTTCTTCGCACCCGATAATCCCTTTCTCCAGCAAGTAGCAGAGAAGGTGTCGAAACTAAGAGATGACCCCAACAATCTACTAAATAAACCAGACCAGATTCGCGATCTCACGCGATTAGCTCTCTATCAGGCGGCCCTGTGCCGCGGTATGTATTACAGGTATTACGTTCACCGGACTCCATTTTAGGGATGAATGACGACTATATACTGACCAGGAAAAGACGATAGTGGGTCGAGGGAAATGACGGCCGTATAAACGCCCAGCGTGAACTGGTCGAGCGCACTATGAGCATCGCGACTCGACTAGTCCCGGACGATAAAGTTGTCCATCTGCGGTTTATCAACCGGTCGGGGGATGGCCTTACCGATCTGCAGGCGGAAGACATCAGAAGCAAACTGAATTTTGTCCCTAGTGGTGGAACAGAGATAGGCACTTCACTGAAGGAAAAGGCCCTGAAACCATTTATATATGATGTGCTGCGTAGTGGACTAAATCTGGAGCGCCCATACCTCATTCTTACAATAACTGATGGATGCCCGACAACGGAAAAGGAGGATACTTTTGAGACGGCGATCACTGAATGCAACAGGAAGTTGGTGGCTAAGAAATATCGACCACAGGGTGAGAGAATTTGTTTCCTATAGTTCCAAGGAACGGCTAACATTAACTTCACCGTCCAGCGGTAATGGTCTAGGTCAGCCAGATCGGCGCTGATCAGGGTGCAGATGCTTTCCTGAGAAGCCTGATCGACAATAAACCGGCACTGAAGCAAGTGTTGGAGGTAACTGCAGGTATTTTGTCCATCAGGATAGTCAGTTCTAACGCAATCGCTAACTTGGAATCAGAGAAGTTGGATGCGGAGTAGGAACAACTACGAACAAATGAACGCCATCTCGAAGAATAGGTATGTCAACAGAACTATGATACAGTCCATTGGTGTTCTACATCGAACGTCTGCCATAAACTAGCTGCTGAAGGTTTTGATGTCTCTAATCACTAGTCGAGTGGAATAGTGAGTTAGTTTCCTTAAGGGAACACAAGTAAACTGTGAGTTTATCTAAATCGCTGTACTGGAGTACCTCAGATTTCGGAATAAATACGGGAATATGATTAATTGCGTAGTAATTACTTATATTAATTAAATAAACAAATACGTAATACGACGCGCCTGGAGGGCAGTGCAGCAGACAATGCCTGTAATGGAGAATATAAACTCGCCCTCTCCCATAGAGGATGGCACTCGTTCATAAAGCCTAAGCCCACGCTCAGCATGGAGGACGTAGGGTCGCCCTAATTTCCAGCCGAATTCGACCACGAGGATTAGAATCCTTCCGGAATTCCTACATGAGAAAAGCCGAATTACATTCTGACATCCGGAGATTCGCCTTCCGTTCAATTGACAGTGGCACGGCTGAGCTTCAATAAGAGTTCTGGTCCGTATCTTTTTTAGGCTTCAATGGTGCAGTGCAAAACTAACACATACTCAGTGGATGGCGATTTTAGCGGGAATGGCTTTTTCATCAATATTCCTAGTATCCAGCGTCGTTTTATCATGACTGCTGGCCACAATCCCATCGAAGTAACCGGGCAGCGTATTCGAGACCTGGTTATGGACCCTGGGTTTTACAGAAGGGATTCCTATTGAGGAGAAGGATGTCCGAATCTGTCCAGCATTCGAGGAAAACCCGGCTGCTGCTGCGGAAGAAGATGACTGGGTCTCATCTTCCTGCCAGACACAGACCCACAGTTGAACGCTAATTTAGGCAGATTCGGGATGGCATTGAAACTGGCATATGAGGAGCGGCTGGACTGCGAGCTCTGTGTGACTGGCATCCTGTCTTCAAAGTCCACTGAACATGCTGTTACCAGCTCCGGCCAATGTATGAATCCAATCTTTAATAAAAATCAGTTGGAGTATACAACAGAAACAGAGAAAGGGATGAGCGGATCCCCTGTGTGGATTATATATGATGGTTCTCCGACGGCGGTTGCCATCCAGTATGTATACTCGCGATCCTCCGTGTCCTGTAAGCCCGAGTTTACTCTGGCTCAATGTTCGGGTCGATCTGCTAATATCATTTAAGCAATAATAGTAAAGGCAATGGAAAAGAAAGCAGAGGAACAAGAATCACGCTCAGGGTTCTCCGTCAGATTTGCTCCTGGACCAGTGCGGAAAAATGCAATCAAGCCATAAAAGTGGACAGCGACACGGCGTTGCCTCTTTACCTGACCTTTTCGGAAACGGACAAGCTTCTCGGTGTGGTCGTGAAGGAAGCGGATAATCCAGCCCTGATGCTTTTCAACATTCTGCCTGCCTACGCACCATCCAAAGGCATGGGTAAGGAGGTTGGTAAAGGTTTACCTGCATGCTTTGGCATACATCAGAATCGCGATGAGCACGTGCAATGGGATTCGTGGAATGTCGACTTCACTACGGCGACGTTGGTAAATGATCTGCGACGAGCTCGCCTGGCAAGGGCTTGGTCGTAGGATGACAAACGCTTTCGTACCATTACTGATCCCAAGGGGGATGCTAAGGCCAAAGAGGCCTCTGAAAAAGCAATGGAACTGGTCGTATCGACCGATAGAGTCCCCGCCATACAATGAAGCTGGGAAGGCGAAGAGTTACAATTCTTCTGATCAGATAAGCTTTTCTATCCCACGAAAGAAAAATGTAGGCTAACCCTTTTTTTACTTATATTGTGAAACCCTTTGCTAACAGATCTTTGTAACTAGGAAAAATACAACTACTTCACCCACGGAAACCGACCGCAACAATAGGACACACTACACAGTACCTAGTCATGCTTCTAAAACCAAATTTCTTCTTCTTTTCTTTTAAAGGAGGGGCAGTTGTGGGGGTTGGGGAAAGAAGTCATCTTGGGTTCTGGTTTGAGAATGATTGTCAAGGGAATTAAATGGTGTTCATCTTAAAAGGTTCCTCACACACTTAGCAACATTCGGAATGTAGAAAGAACGAAAATTTGCGTACCAGATGAGTGGCAAATAACAGCACAAGCGATCACGCCATTTGATCTATATATATAAGTTATTCTGTACTGACACCGGTTGTTACATATAGGATCTTAGAAGTAGGAATCAGAGAGCTTGTTAAGTTGTGAAAAACATACAAAATTGGATGCCCTTCAATATAATTCAACTCCTCCTCCACGGTAGCATTTAAATAGGTAAATAGAGTCTGATTTGGCGTAAAGTCATGGTACTGACAGGCAGGAAATTTGCACTCTAAGGTTACACCTAGTGTCCCTCTGTGAGTTCAGCCCTGATAGTGTCGTTATGTCGCGGATTATTCAGGATTTGCCATTAGCAGCATCTTCCTCAGTAGCATCACATTCATGTCCAATGAACCTACCATAAAATCCTTCGCTGCGCTCCTGCCTCCGCACACTGACGGTGACATCCAGCGAGTCGCTCGGAGGGCGAGGAATCGAGGACAGACTTTTGGAACTCGCATCGGGGCACGAAGCGAGACAGATTCGAACTCATCCGGGAGTGGGCCTGAAAGGCTGGAAGGCGTTCTGAAGGGCCTTCATCACCCACGACATGGATGTGAGCACCGTGGATTTAGTTTAGTTGCCGGGTATGGTAATCTAAGTATATTATAAGCATGTCTTTACATTAATAATATAGCCCAGATAAGGTTGTCGTAATGATACTCTAATGGATTATACCGTTGAGCTACTTTAGATGCGCTACTTTGGCTTTGAATGTAAAATTTAATGTTTACGCTAGCTGGACCTGTCTCGCTGGGTTGATACCGCCAGCTTTTTGAAGCGTTATCCAGCATTAAAAGAATACACGGTACGAGGGCAAGTAGGGAAGCTACCATTCCTGTTTCTTTTGTCACGACACCATTAGTGTGAGGCACGGCTACCACAACATCTCCGGGAAGTATAACCCACTCTCTCCGTCCGTCATCTCCATCTTTGAGGATTGTCATTCTGTCTCTCCCCAAGTCTTCCATTCTATCCGTGCAACTTCACCTATTTATGCGCCAGTCTCCACCTAATCAGTTTCACAACACTATGATCTGATAGGTTGACTTACTACCCAATCCCTAAGGGAAAATTGTGACACAGTCCAGCTCCCCGCTAACCAGAACGTCTTTGATAATATATGTGACTGAACCAAACTGTAACCTTGGCCCTCCTTGTATTCTTGTAGTGGGTGAATGACGTATTGTAATCAAAAATGCCGGTGACTCAGTTTCAAGTTTCGATAGGCCTGACATGCGCCAAACATTATATCCGATGTCCTTGTTTCATGGATTTCATGAGTAAAGTACTAACAGAAATTTAGGACTTGGGCACTCTTACCTTTTGCAACTTCAGCTGCTCCAGTAGCGGTTTTAGAGTGTCTTCTAATCCTTCCTCCTTGGCTTTATAAACTTCCTGGTCTTGCCATCTCACCCATTTCGCTTCTTTCATGAGCCAATCGGCTACAGCTCTCAGATAGGCGTTTTGCAAATCGTTGGGTAACTGCGTTTGTTGGAGATGGTCAGTGAGTGTAAGGAATGTTTTCGAAGCTGTCATTTCCGGTACATATGAGGGCGCCGGGCCCTTTATCGCAGATTCTTAGACTGTGTATGAAAGACCTCGGATGCTTTCTATTATCATCAGGAACGCGGGGTCTATCCAAACATGAAATAGTCAATTAGGCGGTGAATTGGGCAGAAAATGGTCTACCCCACCAATATCTACCAAACAGCCGTCAAGACATTGATAGATTTTGCTTAAGATGGCTACTCATTCATTCTTCAAGACACTGCCAAAGACTTGCATGTCATACATCTTTATCATTATAGCTTATTCCACAACGATTGGATCTATTGATGCATAGTCCATCTAGGAGATCTCCAGGTAGGGATACAGTGGAAAGCATTGAACCGTTAAGAGATGGAGCGGGCCGCAGATCTACCGTGGTTCACCGCCCAACGATCGGGACCACCCAACGATCGATTTTGGGATACACCGACTTTTAGATGTAGATTTTAAACCAACATAACTCATTCAGTTCAACTCCAATGGAGGCAGCGTTAGCAGAATTAGAATCCTTGGAACCAGGTGAACAGATCAACTATACTTTTTATGTGAAAAAGCACAATGTGAACCGAATTACCCTGTCAAGACGTTACCAAGGCATTTAGGGCACTAGGGCTGACTGTCAAGAAGAGCAACAATTACTTAACTACCAGCAAGCTAAATCGCTTATTAAAGAGATTAATAAGCTCTCTGAGCGAGGCTTATATATATCCTCTTCTATACTGCAAAACTTTGCAGCTGAAATCACCAAAAAGCAGCCAGGAAAGAACTGGGCAGGCCGCTTTCTAAAGAAATACCAGGATAAACTGGTCTATCGGTATACAACTGGTATAGACTCTGCATGAAAGAGAGCTGATTCTGTATATAAATATGCATTATACTTTGAGCTGTTGGCCAGAAAGATTGATGAATACAATATACAGCCAGCAAATATCTATAACATGGATAAGAAAGGCTTTCTTATTGGAATGCTTTTAAAAGCTAAAAGAGTTTTCTCCAAGCGCCAGTATAAGATGGATAGTCTTCAGCAAAGGCTTCAGGATAGAAGTTGAGAATGGATTACTACTATTGCTTGTATTTGTACAGATGGAACTTCATTATCTTCAGGTCTTATCTATCAGGCTGCCTCTAGTAATATATAAGATACCTGGCTTCAAGACTTTAATCTAAATGATCACCAGTGCTTCTTTGCTTCTTCTACTTCTGGATAGACCAATGATAAGCTGGGATTCGCATGGCTCAGAGATATGTTTGACAGGGAGACAAAAGATAAAGCTAAAAGAGATTAGAGACTTCCAATTCTAGATAGCTATGGCTTCCATGTTACTATAAAGTTTATAAACTTCTGTAACAATAATAGAATTTATTTAATGACTTATTTATCTTATTTAATCCACTTCTTGCAGCCTCTTGATATTGGAATCTTTAGTCCTTTGGCAATATACTATAGCAACCAGTTGGAGGATTATTTATATACCTGCCAGGGCCTCAGCTCTATTATAAAGAGAGACTTTTTTAGATTATTCTGGCCTAGCTAGAAGAAGGCCTTATCCTAGCAGAATATTGAATTAGCTTGGAAATCAACTGGCATCTATCTAAGGAATCCTAAAGTTGTTTTGAAGCGCTTTAATAAAACAGGGGACTAGAGGTCTTTATCTAGTGACTCCTCATGCTTAATACTGCAGGCGGATGACTGGAGACAAATTGAAAGACTTCTCAAGAATATGGTGGCTGATATATATAATAAAAACACCAAGAAGCTTAGTGCAACTATTCATGAGCTTACCACACAGAATACTCTTCTTAATCTACGCTGTGAAGGCCTTGAGACAGCTTTTCTGAATAAGAAGAAGAAGAGACAGCGTGGGAAGCTATTACTATTTTAACTACAAGCGCCTGAGGATGGTGGTGCAGTCTTTTATTCTCCTAGGAAGGTCCAGCAAGCTTGAGATCTTCAAAAAGAGAAGGAGAATGCTATATAGCTTGCTATAGCTTTAAAAGAGAAAGAGAAGCTCTGCTGTCAACAAGAGAAAGAAGAGAAACAGCATTTAATTGAAGAGAGAAAGAGAATCAGGGCATTGAATAAGGAATAGAGACTTCAGGAGGTAGAGCAGAAGAAGTAATAGAAGAAAGAGGATCATGTGGCTAAAGAGACAGCTAAGCAGCTTTAAAATAATATCAGAATCACTAAAACCAGCAAGAAGAAGGCCTCTAAGTTATCTATAATTCAAAATACTGCAGTTACTGACCTCCTAGCTCCTAAAGTTGTTGATAAGGTCCAAACTACATCAAATCGCTCAGGCAGGCAAATCCGCCTCCCACAGAGGTTTCGGGAGTTCTAAAAAATGTGTATAGCTTCATTTGTATCTAAGCTTTGCTCCATCGGACATTCATTAGATAATTTCATTTGTATGTGGTTGTATTGCTTCATTTGTTGCCTGCTTTATTTTTCAAAATCGATCGTTGGGTGGTTCTGATCGTTGGGCGGTGAACCACGGTACAACCTCACTTTGAAGCTGGGAACAATGATATCTGTGAACCCAGGCGCATTATCCAGTCAATATGTCAGAGCAGGACTGGTCTCTGCTCTTACATATGCCTACAGCGCTCGAGCTCTGCGGTCGAATTACCCAATTCTATTTTTTAGTTTACGGAGCTCGCTGTGAAAGAAGGCTGTGTATTACTATTTTGTTTATTGAAGTTGCTATCCTCTTCAGCCTTAGACTTTTATAGATGCAGATTGAGTGTGGACTTAAAACCGCAAGTCCCATCCAATCTGAGGCCCAATCCTGGGCAATTCATCGGCCACGGTCTGCACGTCTTTATCCCCGCGACCACTCAAACACAAAACAATATCCTTCCCAGGTCCCAGCTTCTTTGCGATTTCAATAGCACCCCACACCGCGTGAGATGTTTCTAGCGCCGGAATAATGCCTTCCAACTGGCTGAGCAGGCGGAATCCTTCAAAGGCCTGGACATCAGTAGCCGACAGGAATGTAGCCCGTTTACTTTCTTTCCAGTGTGCCAGTTCCGGCCCTACTCCAGGGTAATCTAGGCCTGCAGAAACGGAATGAGTCTCAGAGATCTGGCCGTGTTGGTCCTGTAGGACATATGTGCGAACGCCATGTAGGACCCCTACGGAACCACCAGTCAAAGTCGCTGAGTGTCTTTCTGTGTCCAACCCATCTCCGGCGGCTTCTACACCAACTAGTTGGACCGAGAGATCATTTGAGAAAGGGTAGAACATGCCAACCGAGTTGGACCCACCACCCACACAGGCAACCACGGCGTCCGGACTCTTGCCCAACTCGTGCATCTGGGCCTTGGTTTCATTACCAATCACACTCTGGAACGTTCTGACCATGGTGGGGAAGGGATGTGGCCCGATCGCGGATCCGATAATATAGTGGGTGGTATCGAGACGGACAATCCACGCGCGGAAGGCTTCATTGACGGCATCACGGAGGGTCCGCGAGCCTGAATCAACGGGGACCACCGTGGCGCCCAACAAGCGGATCCGGAACACATTCAACGCCTGTCGACGGACATCCTCCGCGCCCATGTAGATAGTACATTTCATGCCGAACTTCGCACAAACAGTGGCCGTCGCAACACCATGTTGACCTGCACCCGTCTCGGCAATGATTTCTGTCTTACCTAACCGTCGAGCGACAAGGATCTGACCCAGGGCATTGTTGATCTTATGAGATCCAGTATGGTTGAGGTCTTCCCGTTTTAACCATATGTTTGCGCCTCCAACGTGCTCGGTCAGCCGCGACGCTTGGTGAAGACTCGATGGGCGGCCCATGTAAGGATAGTACGACCGGTATTCCTCCCAGAAGGTCGGATCATCGAGGGCCTGCTGGAAACCAGCCTCGAGTTCCGCAAGACACGTTGTCAGCGCCTCGGGGGCATATTGACCACCGAAGGTACCGAATCGTCCTGGTCCATTGGTTACCGCTGCCTCTGCGTCGCCGGTCGGAACAGCCACATTCTTTTCTGTTGCCCCGGAAATTTCACTCATCGACTCATCGCGATGAACCTTCCTTTGGGTGATCAATGAACAGTAGTCCTCGGCTGCCTGAGCGGCTCCGCCGGGCGGCGCGTCACTCAGTATGTTAATCACCTGGCTCCCAATGACCGCACCATCGGCGATGGAGGTCACGCTCAGGAAATGCTCCCGTGTGCTGATTCCAAACCCGACTGCCACGGGGATATTGCCCGATAGCCCCTTGACGCGCTGAATCAGAGCCGGAAGCTCTATGTTGAGGGTCCCCGTAGCGCCAGTGACGCCCATGCGGGAGACGAGATAAATAAATGAATCAGCCATGCCGCAGAGTGTCCTCATGCGCTCTTCGGTAGTGGAAGGAGCGATCAGTGGGACATATGAGAGGCTGGGAAAGGAGTCAATAAGCCGGACATTCTTTACATACGGTTAGTCACATACCCCATCTTAGTGCAGCCATTTCGGAAGCGAATTGCTTCTTCCGGAGGCAAGTCAACAATAATGAAACCATTGACCCCCGCATCCTTGCAATCACTCAGGATTTGAGATTCCCCGTAGCGTAGGAGGGGGTTGTAGTAGCCCATGAAGAGGACAGGGGCCTTGAGCCCTTTCCGGCGCGCCTCCCGCACCATTTCTAACATGGAGGTAATCGTGACTCCATTTTGGAGGGCCTTCAGGTTCGATTTTTGGATGGTTTCACCATCTGCAATCGGGTCGGTGAATGGGAGACCCAGTTCAATAATGTCTTCAAGACATCCATCAGGATCGGCACAGTTTTCGAGGAAGATGGTCTCCAGAATGACTCACCAGCTCCTCCGGCCTGCATACCCAGCATGATGTCCGGCGTTTCTTCCGCCGTGGGGAAACCAGCCGTCACATACGTGACTAATGCCGGACGTCCCTCTTGTTGGCATTGGGCAAAGGTTTGTCTCAGATGCTCCATGGCGAATTAATTGTCTGGTGGTAACAGAAATTGGGATATGGGGTTGGCTCCCTTTTTATGGTGACTCCACCGGATGGATGAGTCAACGTCCTTGTACCCACAGTGGAGAATCCGGCGAGCCTATGAATGAGCTCTTGTGGACAGGTTGATCTACCCGTAAGATACGATCTAGGGCTAAACATTTTTGATCCTGCCAGTCCATCATGTGACCTCTGCGGGGTACGATACACGTTTTGTCTTTCTTTCATCAACAATCTCCTGGAGTTCATTCCAGGCAATCAATCAGTAGCATGGTGCTGGACCGACAGGAGCAACGCTTTCTCATTCAGAAGCACAATATTTCATTAGATGGCCCAATCCCCCCAGATAAATGGCCTGCAAAGTATCATTCTCTCTTTCGATTGGTTTGGGAAGCGGACAGGGTGCAGTATAATGATTTCAAGCACGCCGGACTGGGAAATCCAATCGGCTCACGGCTGACGACTGGGGAAATGTGCACCCGCGTCGAAAGACTCGTCCAGACAGCGTATGATTTGCGTCGAACATGGGCCAATGAGTCTATGTGGAGAGCTACGATAGAAAACTTCATTCTTGAGCCCTTCAATGCTGAAAGTGGATCGTACGAAAGCCCCCGCTGGGTACCGCTACCCAATTGTTATGAGAGCGAGCTATCTTAGCTGACATTGACAGTCCTCAGTGCAGCGGATGCTACGGGGTATCGCACTTACTAGCACCGCTGCGCAATACTGGCCCTGCGGAGACCCTTTGTGAGTGTGGCGAAGTAGAGAAGAAACCTTCCTTTGTAAGGAATTGTGACGTTGGCTTGAATATCTTCCGCGTCACATCCACTGACGGGGCGTGTAGTCCTTATCATTTGTCAAATTTGCAAGTCACCGAAACTGCCGCCTTCTGGATGAGTCGATGCCGGAAATCGATAAAAAGGTCCTGTCGCACCAAAGGGCCGATCTCGTTATTGGGTTTCAGAAGACCCACGAATTCCGTGAGATATTGTCCGCTCACCCGTCTATTCAAGCTACAGCAATTGAGGGTAAGGAGGAAATAGTCTTTCCATTTTTACTTCTCGAAGCCAAGTCTGAGAAGGACGGTATCGGATTTGACTCAGTCGAGAGGTGTGCAGCATTCGGGACAAACGCTTTGTTAGCCCTACAGAGAGACTTATCATTCAAGACAATTCAGGCTGGTTATAGAATAAATCCCATAGTCTGGCTTTTGGCCAGCAGGGGAGACCAATGGGGAGTCTACGCGTGTGTTCCTGATCAGTCGACCACAGTGAGTCTATCTGCCCATTCCCTGTTTATGTGGGAAAAAGGGAATCAAAAATCACTACAGTGGCTAAACAAACACCCAGCGAATGATCAAGTTGTGGGAGGGTTCAATCTACAGGCATGACCATGCATTGCAATTTCTCCTCATAATCGAGATGCTATGTGACTGGGCAAGGAATATCCTCGCAGACCAACTGCTTCATGGTATATGGGGACCTAGTGGCGCATGCGGTACGCGCCATTGTTCTCGTACTAACAGCAAGTTGGATGGCTTAGCAAAAGCTCTTCAGGTGACGCAAGTCAGTGAGACAACAGGAGCCAGCGACAACTGGGCTACGTACACTAAAGATGCCGTGATACGATCTGAAACAGACATGCAATACCAGTTTCGATCCCTCTCCCTGCCAGAATCAAGAACGCACCTTACTCGAATCCTTCTGGCGATTGGAGGGACACGCCACTTTTACGAGGCAGCCCGAATGTTGGTAGCATATTTCACCCTGGACGATCCCCTCATCATAGGAGCAGGATTCATCTATGACTTACACCACATTTGGACCAACCGGCCTTTGGACAGAATCTCTGGGGATCCAGAACGGAATTTCGCCGGTCTTTCCTTTCGAGCCTATTTCGACTACTCAAGCTGCCAATTGACTCAGGAGCTGTCGTGTGTTACCGCATCAATCACAGCAATGGAACTTCTGCTCAGTATCCTATCCCCGTCCGAGAGGGTGATTTTCACACGTAATGAAATAACGCCATCACTGCTTCTGCCGGGGACAGTTGAACCACTTCGAGATGCATCCGCTCCCAGGCTTACGCGAGCTGCCATTAAGGACTTATACCTGCACTTACAAGTCTCTAACCAAGTAGCGGGAGCAAAGAGTTGGGTTCAAGACCACAAAACTGACCAGTTCCTCGAGACCTTCTGGGCCGTGGCAGATGGTCAGCGGAAAATTTTCTGGAGGTGTCCCCGTCAAATATGCTCTACTGCAAAACGAACTGTGTTCCCTGATGCTCCCGAAGACAGTGACATTCTAGACCATGTAACACGCTTTGTGACGGACCATGATCCGGTTACCCTCGTTTTATTACAAAATGGAGGATCGACGACGCGATACTGCTGTGTTGTCAAGAAGGACGACAGCCCGGAAGACCTCCCAGCAGTTGGACAGAAGATCCATACGCTTCTCCGCAATCGGCCAGGTTATTTCACCACTTACCAGCGAGACTACTTGGTTGGGTGGGCTGATAGTCTAATTGGGAAGGCATCAGCCTGATCCTTAAAACGCTGGATGGGGAATGCTGGCTCCCTTACTCCGCTGGATTTCTTGGTTGTTGCAGAGGGGCTTTCATTGGCCCAGGACCAGGTCAACGCAACCGAATGCGTCAATGTTGAAGATTTTTAGGTAGTTGAGTTTTCTTGTGCATGCATTAATCCATTAATACAGAAAGCGCTTTTGGTTGGACACGTAAAGGACCGAAGTAATGGATAGTCGACAGGTGGTTCCAAGTGAGCTGGGGTCCTTTTTTAGGCAGGTGGCATGTCATAAAAATGCTGCTTAGTCAGGTTTCAATCACGTGCAAGACAGATGAAGTGCGACCCCACAACAACCAGAAGTTTCAAAACAGGCGACCTTTTTCAGTGTTTTTACCTACCACCACCACTATGGAGCTTCTGGCTATGTTAAATTCTTACCTCTGTATTTTTATTAAGCTGATTATCTAATCAGAAGTATATAAATTATTAAACTCCATAGTTATAAGTAATTCAGATAAGTATTTAGTTATTTCAGGAATAGAATAAAATATAAAGGAAATTAGAATTGAAATACACTAAGCCTAATTTATATAACTAAGTTACTGAGTTGTTCTATTCTACTTATTAATTGTTTGACAGTCACGTGCTTTTGATCAACATTACATATCAACTCACCTCGGGAGGTGACCTGACCTGTGTACACCTACTGCATCAGACGACAACTCGTACCAGACGATTTCTAACGTATTTCACCAGTGACCCACCACCACAAACGAGCCGCCACTCCCGCTCCAACTGTAAAGGATTACTCCTGGGATTAGCAATTCAATACGTAGGATCTTTCCACTAGGTAAAAAGATCCACTATAATCAACTCCGTTCGGAGTTGATTTCCCAGGCGCGGTATATATAGTATCGCAACTTGCCATCGGGGCCTTAAGCCTAAGGCTTACCCGTGACACCAACTCCTGATCGCGGGCTAAATATTACATACTTTATCAACCAAAAAATTGTATTTCTATAGAGAAACTAATTACTAAGTGGATTAGGACATCTAACTCTAGTATGTCCCTGAATATGACAATGTCAAGGATATCTACTATTCAGGGTAGAAGACCTGTCAACTAGGTAAGGATACGTAGGCTGGGAGGGAGAGAGAGATCAAAGGCAGGCAGTAGATATTATTCAGACAGGAGACTGATTCTTGATCTCCTCCTACTACTAACTATTCGCTAATTTATAGCTGAAGACTCTGTACGTAAAGGGTTCAGATTTCCCGTTGAAAACCAAACCGTTGATGGCCTGATGTTCCTCATCGGTGGCCGATTGTCCATGCACCTGGCTCAGGGTATCCTGTACGGCCATCAGGCCGAATCGCTATTCCATCTGTGGCAATAAAGAAGATATAGAGAATATTCTATATAGGATTGATAAACTATCTAAATCTATAAAGTTACTTATTA